AACGAGGTGGAAAAGAAAGTGTCTGAAGATCAAACTGGAAAATACCGTGTGAGTCAGTTTAAGCCACAAAGAAATGGACGGCACGAAATTCAGGTGAATATTGGAGGAGAAAGGATCAAGAACTCGCCTCAGAATGTAGAGATACTCGATGTGAAGGAGTTGTTCAAACCTGTGAAAACCTTTGGAGCAGGAGGAAGTGGTAKAGGACAGATTAATGTTCCATGGTCGATAGCAGTCAGTGATAATGGAGAGATAGCCATTGCTKATTGTGGTAATCACCTAATTCAAATATTCAATCTTGATGGAAACTATTTAAGAGAGTTTGGCAGGGAAGGAACAGGACAAGGTCAATTGTATTAYCCATATGGAGTGGTGTTTAACGAAGACAAAATAATTGTCAGTGATGGTACACATGGTAAAGGCAGGATACAAGAGTTTGACTTGAACAGTACTTCTGTAAGAACCATCTACAGACATGACCAATGGTTTGCACCGCGTGGAATGTGTGTTAACGATGATAAAAAMATCTCAGTGTGCTGTTGTGGAAAACAAGAACTGGGTATCAAACCWAGTATCAAGGTGTTCAGTAAACAAGGAGATTTAGTTCATGAGTTTGATATGCCTGACAATAATGAACAGCCTTGGTACATCACCTATGGTAACGGGAAATACTTTGTATCTTATTGGAACATAAACTATGTTCGTGTTTTTGATGTGAATGGAGTTTTCTTGTACAAGTTTGGAGAANAGTATCAAGGTGTTCAGTAAACAAGGAGATTTAGTTCATGAGTTTGATATGCCTGACAATAATGAACAGCCTTGGTACATCACCTATGGTAACGGGAAATACTTTGTATCTTATTGGAACATAAACTATGTTCGTGTTTTTGATGTGAATGGAGTTTTCTTGTACAAGTTTGGAGAAAGGGGAGAAAGAGACGGTCAGTTTAATGGTGTACGTGGACTGGCTGTTTATGGTCCAGGCATGATTCTTGTCTGTGATGCTAATAATCATCGTGTTCAACTATTCACACAAGAAGGTCAGTTCATAAGGTCATTTGGTAGCTGTGGTTCAGGTGTTGGTCAGATGAATGTTCCTGCTGATGTAGCAGTTACAGATGATRAKCGAGTGTTTGTGGTAGAATGTTGGGGCAAAAGAGTTTGTGTTTGGTGTTAATAGATATCAACCATTCAACACTTTTACACTTCTGTACCTTTCATACAGTACAGTATAACCCTAATAACTAATTTAATTATTATTACTCGTGCCCCAGGCCTTTGGCCAGGAGCACGAGTCTTAAGATGCAGCCCGTATTTTTTCTTTTGGTTCCACGACGGGTATTTGCAAATGAGTGGAACTGGGCCGAGGACTGGGACCTAGGATTGAAAGACCACGAGTTACAAGGCTCGAATCGGTCTGTAATCTCGAAGAAAGTCAAGATGGCGAAGGTTTTGATTGTGTACAGTTTTTCTTGTMCTTTACACGCTACAACTGCTTACGAATGCACGCACTTTTCGCGGTAGATCTACAGTAAAAGACGTCGAGGGYTTTCGGGATGGATCGTTCCGCGAACACATGAATGCCTTGAAAGCCAATGCTAAAGATACAAACAATCAATATCTTATTAATGAAAGTCTTAAATACAAACATGAAGTTAAACTGTTGCATATACTCWATGTATTCTATCTACAAGGACTACAAACCTCAAGACGATAATCCAAAAGTTCGTATACAGTGCAGGACTTGTTATATTCTTTTTTATAAGCTTGTATCTTACRTTCCAGTGTATTGGASTTTRCTTCAGTTTCTTATGCTTATGTTTATACTTCTGTTAAAGTATGAACCAACCTCTACTCACKTAAAATAAACACAGAAAACCTTCAAAATAAAGAATCCCTATTGTTATTATAATACTTATAAATACACTGTTCTTATTAGTAACCTTGTACGAATGACTGCAATTCGACGATACATTTTTAATTTACTTTCATTGATAGAGTAAAAACAAATAGTACTAAATACTCTGAAATTGTCAGTGCTAATTCTATTGTTTTCTATTATGTAATTAGTGCTATTTAGTCCTAAATAGTGCAAAGTATTGCACKCTTTTAATGGTTGTACTCTATGCAGTATGCACTCTAATATGTTTACAAGGATGTTAATATATTTGCATGTTCTTAATAACAATTATGTTAAATAAAGTTGTTTTTTAGCTTTGTCTTTGAAGTAGAGTAAGTTATTTTCGAATGTTTAGTGATCTTTAAAAATTTCATTTCCATTCCCTTGCACTCTCCTAAAAATGTGAAACCCCTAATGCTCAATATGTAATAGTCAAGTAGACTCGAAGAAAAGAATACAATAGTGTTTATCTACTGCTTACACATGTTAGTGATCTAGTGCCTTCAMTCTATTCATTTCCTAATACTTCATTTCCATGTTTCATTATTCACTCGTTTCATATTTGAGTGATTTTTCTCTCAAACACTTCTACATCCCCCAGCACAAACCACGCCCACAGGATACGAGTGTATCCTTGGAACAAGGGTCTAGTTGTACATCATTTACGTATCTATTTTACAGGGATGAAATAAGTTGAACAAATCAATGGTAGTCAGCTCAGACACCTACCCAGGCGTCACTTAGGCTTTGATATTTCTAYTCGCAATGGAATATGGGAAGGCAATTAATGCACGCAAAGGCTTTTGGGAAGCAGTTGATTCACTGCGAACTCACCAAAACCGTCCCATCATCCACAGCGCATCAACAGCATGAGYGAGAGAAGTGACTGGGTACAAGTCTAACTCTTAGCTTTAAAATGTGCCACACCCTGTTGTTTACTAAGCACCTATTTTAGTGATGTTGATAATACATTCACATTTGAAGTCTAAAATGCTTCAACGCTGATTTATTGATTAATATTATCCTCCCGTATCATTGTCACATAGATAACTTACGAGCTAAAGCCTGATATAACACMAATCTTCAATCATCAAATTAGTGCTTGCATAAAATAATATCGAACCCAAACAGAGTCATGTTCATATATCGATATTAGAATAGAGTCGCATCACTAGGAATCTCGCCATCAAACAAAGCATTGAGCTCTTCATCTGAAGTCAAGTCTTTTTAATGCAGGAGTAACAATAGGTTTTAGTTTTCTTTTCCTCCCTTATGGGTGGTGTCGAACATTCGAGARGGCGTCGACTGACCAATACAGTACTCTTCAGCGTAGTTCAGAGGCGTGAAGTCTGATAAAGTACGCTCATGCGGGGTATATTCCWCCTCTGATAAGGATAAAACAGTCTTTTCCTTCCCTTAGGCCGTATGAAAAAAAAAAACACTATATCTCTTGTTTTGGAACWGCTTGACTAGATCCACCATCAGCATTGGTTCTTTTCAGCTGCTCGTACAGACCTAGCGTTTGGCGGAGAGAACATGTAGACTCAGCGKTTGCCAAAAATGCGCAACTTTGAATCATCTAAACCACAAMCTCCAGAGCTTAGAAGGACTCAAGGAAATTGATCGTAGGAGCGATGAATCGAGTCGAGCAACGAAACAAAACGACGAACAA